TTCAGTGTGTTGAGGAGAAAAGCCAAGCCAGCCCCTGGGTGACCATGCTCCCAGCCTGTGCTCCTGAGGCTGCCTTCAGTGTGTTCCAGAGAGGAGACTAAAATGTCCCCACATTGAAATATGTGCATTTCAGCAGAGGCTTGACACGATCAAATCTGCTTGGCGTATCAATGCCACCTCATCACCAAACACTCAAATGAATGCAACTCTACCCTCATCCAAGTCATTTTGCTAGACTGGCACCAGCTAACTCCCTCGAAGCTCTGCAAAGAAAAATCTTCAAGCAGTATTTGCTCAGGAGACAAAACCAGACATGCAGCTCTGGCTCAGAGAAAAGGGAAGGCTGTAACCCTGCAAGGTGAAGGTTAAGAAAAGGAGCTCTTCTTTCCTTCATCCAGAGAAGCAGTTTCCCAGCGCTTGCAGGCAGCTGTGATCAGAGCATCTGATTCAGTAACGATGAAAGCCAGGCTTGGAAACAAGCTCATTTCTCACCAAGCACCAAACACCCAGAAAGACCCAAGTCAGCCATAATCATTAGCATTCATGTGTCTGTCCTCTGGAGCACAGAGCACCACGTTTAGCCATAGTTCAGTCAATTAAATCAGGAGGCTCCTAAGCAGCCACTCAGCAGCACTGGCATCTGGCCTTTGGCCACTCATGGGCTTTTTTCTATTACTGAGAAGAAAGCAGAAATTTTCTAACAAAAAGGGGGAAGAGAAGGGAGGGGAATTCTTGGAAAGCAGCTGTTAAGTTTGAAGCAAAGCTGAAATTGGGTGGGGGGGGGGTTGAAAAGTCTCCTATGAAATGGAAACTCCTATTTCCAGCCATCCCTCCCCCTCTTCCCCTCCAGTGCACTTTACTCACAGTGTAGACAGTGTCCTGACGGTTCTTTCTTCTCTGCTGTAAAACAAAAGCAGCAAGTTGCCCATGTGTTGCACTGCCAGCATCCCCCACCACCTTGAATGTGCCTGTGCATTTGCTCTAAGGCCCAGCTACGGCTCCATGGATGTGGCTCCATGGATGCGTGGTGCCCATTACAGCCCATCTTGCCCCCACCCACAGGGCTCTGTTAAGACAACTCATTCTCTGGAAAATTAATTTAATTTTAACAATGTAAATTTAAACAATCTAAAACGTAGCTGTTCTCTGCTCACTCCCTTCAGCTGTCACCTGCAGGCAAGCCCCAACACACCAATGCAGGTTTCCCCTCTCTTTTCCTTCGAAACTGTTGGGCTCTGCAGCAGAAGCTGTTGTTTTGGCTGCCTCTTCACTCTGTTGGCGCTTGTTTGGTGGCATCACGTGCGGCGAGCTCTGGTGAAACACCCACTCCTGCCCTGCCTGTCCCACATCCGCCCTGCGCCTGGGTGTCACTGCCTGCTCTGGGTGATGGGGGGTGGGCAGGGGTGAAGATCAAAGCAGAGGGGGAAAGGTTCACTCTTGTCCCCGCCGTGCTGCCGCCACCTGGGTTACTACACAGATTTTGGCGCTCCCTCTCCAGGAAGGCGCTGGCGCTCAGCAAAGGCGTGATGAGTGATGAGTGCCTGCGTGTCTCAACAGCGGTTACACACCAGGAGGAAGGAACCAGAGCGTGTGGGAGGAAGTTACCTGGTGTCTTCCGCCCAGCTCAGGATCTGCACCGCGCTTTGCCCCCAAAACATCGTATTCATCTCGGTGTCCACGAGACAGTTTCTGAAATGAGAAAGCAAGCAGCAGTGACAGATGTTATGATCACAAGAAAACAGATCTTAACACAGGAAGAGGAAGGGAACCCAGTTTGGTGTCCAACTTAAAGGGTGCTGTAACTGAGCTAGAAATTATTTTTTTTTTTACCCCTGAATGCAACTGTCAACAAAACTGTCTACGACTGAGCCATGGAAATGACAGAGCGGTTTGTGCAGCACAAAGCTGCAAGCCGTTGCACCAAGAACCTTTCTTAAGTAGAAATGAGCTGAAAATGAGAGTGTGCAAGGGGGAGGGCTTGTGCCTTTCATGCTTTCTCTCCCACTGGTGGGTGAGGATCCATGCGCTTGAGTTTCCTTGCAGAACAACTCATCTAAATGTGCATCGAGCGGCTGTGGCAATTTTATGTGCAACACATTTCTGTCTGGGAAAGGTGACCTTGGAAGAGGGCAAAGGAGAGATTTCGGGTCAGAGTAACACAGCTGACAGCACTACTGAAAAGGTGACAGGCAACCGTTCTTAAACCGAAAAAAAAATGCATCAGCGTTCATACATTACACAGTTAAACAGTAGAATTCACCACAGGATGTGGCTATGGTCAAAAGCATGAGAGGAAAAAAGAATTGAACTTAAAAGCCAACTAGACATAGCAAAAATAGCTACAGCTTAATGCTGCCATGAGTGAGCAATTTAGCCAGGAAGGACAGACAGGATCCTGTCCCTGTCCTCATTCCCTGCCTGAAGAGCCATCTGATGCCAGCTATGACCAAAGCACAGCGGATGAGGTGTGCCTCTGGTATGGCCTGGCACAGGAGGCCCTGCAACAGGAGAGCTCAGGGATGGAGACTGCTGGGCTGTGATGATGCCTCAGGTTCCACAAGCTCCATGATCCAAGAGCTACAGTTGTCCAAAGTCAGCGATGCAGCATTCCTGGGCGCTTGCCCCTTCTCCAGCCCACACAAAACACCATCAGCAGCAGGGGTGGCAGTGCGCCTGCGAGTGGCCTGAGGCACGGTGATCAGTGAGAGCTGCAAGCCAACTGCAGAGGGCTGAGCATGAAGTTGGGGTACGTGCATCACACATAGCAGTCTGGTGGCTGCACACACACACACAGACAGACACACAGAGACACACAGACACACACACAGAGACACACACACACAGAGACACACACACACAGAGACACACAGACACACACACACACACACAGCTCTTGCAGGCATGTTACATGGTGCAGCACACCGAGCTCTGTCTCTGAAATGGCCTAGGTTCTTGGTATGCCTTCAGCTCAGTGGATCAAACCAGGAACCCATATATCTATGTAGCATTCAGCCAGGTAAGTGACAGCTGAAGCTGCCTGTCTCAGGTTTTACCTTTCCTCCTTACAACTGCTGTACTGCACACTTAGGTACAGCACCTGCAGTAGCTGGGTCAGCCAAAGTTGTTCTGATCCACAGGCAATTCACTATCTGTAAGTGCTCAAAAAGTCTGTCTGGGTAGTGGATTTGTAAACAAACAAACAAAAGCCAGTAGTTACTTACGTTATAGACATCATCCTGGCCCTGTGGCAGCTGTGGTTCAGAGGCCTGGCTAAGCTGGAAGAGAGACCATACCATCAGCAGAGAAACAGTAGCTTCATGAAGGCTTCTCAGTCCTTCTTTCCTGGAAGTGACTCTCATCAGAAACAGGACAACCCCTAAGCAGCCAACCTGTGGCACTGCTGGGGCTCCAGGCAATGCAAGCCCCTGCTGTGCTGACACTTTTATCCAGATGCAGGTTGCTCTCAGCAGCCAGGTCATTTTACTTGCACACACCACCAGTTCACAGCTACTCAAAGCATCTTTGCTTTGGTTTGCCCCGCACAGGCACACACTGATTTTGCATTCCTATACTGTTCATATCATGATGCTGAGCTATTGAAAACAGCTCCATCAGGCAGCCTGTGCTAAGAAAAACTGGGTATCTTTGGGCTACTGAAGACCAAAAGCATCCCCAAGTCCCCAGTCCTCCAGCTAAAGTGCTGCCTGCACAGCTCCTGAGTGGCCTCAGCTTCAGGGGGCACAGGGGATCCTCATGCCCCTTCGGAGCAGCACCAGGCCTGTGGGGCTGCAGTGCCACCACAGTAACTTGGCTTGAGTGGCAGCTAAGGAGTAGGTGAAGAACTACCCTTCTGTAGCTACTCTTCGGCTCTGCTCCTCACAAGATTTACAAGCAGTTAATTGCTGAGCCAAACTTTCAGGAAAAAAAAAAAAACAAGCACACTTTTAGGTCAGTGAGAACAGCTACTGTGTGTTCCAGACCTTCCAAAAAACAGTGCCAAACTACATTCTGTATTGGTTTAACCCTCCTGAGTTACCATCATACGTTAAAATCTTCATTAAAAGCAACTTTCTAGATGGGTTTATATTTAGGCATAGGATAAACTTGACTTTGTTTTTTAAAATAATATTTGTAATAATTATAGGTTATGCCACAGTGTTCCCATGAAAGTGCCACTGTCATCTCTGAACCTTTGGAGGGGACAGTAATTTACTGAGCATCTGACCCATGGTTCTTGCAACAGAACCTAAATGTTCACACATGCTGTTCATAAATAAAAAGCCCACAACAGTGGCCTTGGCAAAAGCCCCCACAAACAACTCCTATGGCCAGGAGGGAAGGCGAGCAATACGACACAGCCTAGTGCTGTGCCAGGTCCATGCTCCTCCTTGGATGGTTTGCCGAGCCTCCTTTAACTCCCACCTCTGGGCAAGGTGTCCCGCTCCTGCCCACAGGCTCAGCACCCACCCTGCAGCTCAGCCCTCCAGCAGCCTCAAAAGACTCCCAGTCCCACAGCAGCACCTTCATCTGCAGCCAGGATTAATACTGGCGACAAAAAAGGCTTCTCCCTCGCCGTGACTGAATTCTGCTCCTTTCCTCCAATTCCTCCAAATACCCTCCCCTTCCCTCTGGGTTCAGCACTGGTTTCATAGTCCTGAGAGAGGATCCCCCTGCAGAGCCAGTGGGGCAGCAGTGCAGCATCCCCCTGTCAGTGCTCCTGCTGGTGATCTCAGCCACAACCTGGCGAGAAGCAAGACCCACGTGCAGCAAACCTTTGCTTCTGGGGGAGCTGAGCCAGATGTGCAGACAGCAGCTGAGACATCCTTTGGCCTGCTCAGGCTTGGCTGAAAGCACCATTGTAGTGGAGTGCCCTGTGTCTCCTCTCCTACGATTAGCAGAGCTCTCAGAGCATGTACATGTCTGGAAATGTACACACCTCCATCACGTTACATTACCTTCTTCTGTGGAAGTGCACTACAGCCCCTAAGTGTCTCCCCAGATGCTGAACAGCTGCTGGACGGTAACAACAACCCATCCCAGTTGTGTCCATCCTGTCCCCCCGGCTCCTCTCCTGTGGCTGTGGGGGTCATATCATCTGCATCATCACACTCACATGTCTGCATCCTTCACAAGCTTTGCATTTATCCTGAATTTTCTCTATGTTCTCTCCTCTCTTTCCAATGAGAAAGCAGCAGAAGAAACCACATCACTGTTGATCAGGCACTTCTCAGCTACAATATCCACAATCTCTGACTGCATCCATAACTTAGCATCAAAATACTCTCATTCATGAGCCCTCAGAAAGAACTCCCACAGATTGCTCAGGCTGGCACCAGAAAAGGAGGAAAGAAAAAAAATAAAATCAAAAGGTCTTATTCTCAGAGCCATAATTCCTCTCCATCCCCATTTTCCAGCTCAGCTCAACTTGTTTACACCACCAAAGCCAAATGTATCAGTGTCTGGATAGACTGACCTTCGCTTTCACAAACAGGGCTGTCATGATGATGGCGTAAATGAAGAGGAATCCATCCAGGATGTAGCAGAGCCTTGGGTCTGTCAGTCCAAGAATTTGTACAGCATCTGTATGGAAACATCAGACACATCAACAAACATGGCCATTGGTGTCACCGGGTGCTTGATGGCAGAGATGTGGCAGTGCTGCATGAATAAACCAGTATGAGGGCAAGTCTGGCCATTTGCAAAGGAGTTACACAGAGCATTTGTTATCTGGGAAAACCCAGCAGCACCTCCTGCACGCATTCATTACGGGGGCTGGTTAGGGAGTCCTCCATCAACTAAAACTGTGTGAAAATGTGTCAGTTTGGATGAAATTTTAGGAAAGGGCTTCTCAGGACAAACATTTGTGTTAAATGTGAAGACTGACCCACACCATCATAGTCAGCTGGAGATCCAGGCTGAAATTGCTGCTCTACTTTATTCAGAAGAGGAATCTGAGGCTGCACCTCCCATATCCCAGGATGCAGACTGTAACCATAAAGACACAGTGTCTTCTGTGGGAGGGTTCTCTCGAGCTCCCAGTTTGGAGATGTTGGAGGCCATCAATCATGAGAGGATCACTATCAGCAGCAGAAACAGTCTTTTCACCCAAGGACACGTCCATGAGACACACATGCGACACCCTGCTTTGCTTTCTGGTTGAGAGGAAGATTTTAAACCTGAATTTCCTGCACAGGAACCTCAACTGGTTGTCTGATGGATCTCCTCCAGAAGAGTTTTAATTTTTGGTTTTTTTTAAAAGAAGTGTTAAAACTTCTCTGAGGTAGAAAAATCCACTTCTGCCCTAACTGGGAGCTCAATAAACTTGTTACTCAGAAGACGCTGGTGTTCATTTCCCAGTTGATGTTGCAGGGTATGTTTATACCCTGACCGCATTAAGCAGGGCACAGTAGTATCACTGGTTTTCAGCAGCTAAAGCTGCTCCTGTATCAGTTTGTAAACATGTAGCAAGGTCACAAATTAACTAAAAAAATCAAGCCAAGTCAGGTCAAAGAAGCCTAACTAACTACTGATCCAGTACACAGCTCCAAATCTATCCTCAAAGGAAAGGTTGTATTCCACATTTATTAAAAAAATATCACTTAAAAACAAATCTGAGCTGTGCTTTGTACAGAGCATCAGAGGGAGTTCAAAAGAGAAAGATGAGAATGATCAAGAGCCCGTGGAGCCCTTCGACGAAGACAAATTGAAAAGAATTGGTACCATTCATCTCCTTCCTAGGGCGAACAAAGTCTGGCAATTCCTATTACCCACATGTTGAAGCGCTCAGCGCAGCACTCCAAGGTGCTGAGCTCCTGCAGTGCCAAGAGTGGCCCCGCTCTGCGTGCTGGGGTTTCTCCCCGGCCCATCAGCCCACGCTGAAGTCTTCATCAGAAGCAGCTGGCAGCTGACGCGCTCAGGCAGCACTCGGCATCCTCGGGAGGTCTCTTGCCAGAAATGAAGTCAATGGTGACGGCCTGTTGTGCTGTTCAAGTGTGCAACTTGGATAAGGCATGGCAGGAAAGCCTGGATACTCGGTCATGTAACTGTAAAATCTCAAGCAGATGATGATACCATCACTCTTCCCGCTGAGAGCCTAACACAGACAGAAACAAACCCCAAACATTTGCAAACAGTAGATTTGCTTGGTTGTCTCAACTAGGAGTTTGCATTATTATTTTTTTTAATCACATGTTTAGAAACAAATCCATGGAAATAAACTAAGATCCTAGATGGCTTTCCTTCTTCTCCTCTTATTTCTATTTTCTAAAAAAATAAGGTTCAAAGCACTTTATGAACCATCAGCTTCACCACATTTTTTTCAGGATTATAAAACCTCATGTGCATGGGGTAAATATAGGCAGAGAGATTAAGTCATTTGTCTGACAAATGGATGTGTCCCGAAGCAGGTCAGGGTTTTTCAGCGCTGCACTTGGATCAGAAATACAGTGTAAGGAAGGCGAGCAGCCCAGCACAGAGCCAGGAAGCCTGGGGGTATCTGAGATGCTGCCGAAGGTGGTTTTGGGGATCCTGGCCCTGGCTCCCTTTTTTCTGTTCCAAAGCAGGGCATGTTCACACTGGGGTCTCAAGTCCAGTATTTCTCCAGCACTAATAAATTCCCCAGACCAGGAGGAGCTTGAGCAGGAGACTGAGAACTGTGGAGAAGTCAGGAGTGCAGGGACTCAGATGTATCTCTGTGTCAGTCGTGGTCAACCTTGGCTGGCTCTGCAGAGCCGCCCAAGTGCCTAACACGGTGCTTATCTGGGACCACCTGGCCTCTGGCACCCCACAGAATGAACTGAAACTGCTCACTGAGGGAGATCCTGCTAGACATAGTCTGGCTGTGGTGGCTCCTGGGAAAACAGGTGTTGAGGCAATGATAAAGTCCAACACTTAGAAACAAACCAACAAAATTAATTAGTTCATGTCTTTTCCTTCCTTAGTAAGTCTGATTTCTGTGTTCTTAAAAAAAAAAAAAGATACAAAGCACTTTCTACATTATAACCTTTAAAACAGCTTTCCGGATTAGAAGGCAAGAGAGACAAAAGCTACAAAGTCTACTGAAAGAAAGGTCAAAGAGATGTGAAGCCTAATGAACAAGTAGCAGTTAGAACATTTAGCATCCATTCATGTGAGCAGGATCAGTGTGAGCTTTTAAATTGCTAGAGGAAGCGTTACTGCCTCTTCTGTATTTGCACAACGTGCATGACCAGAAGCCCAGTTCCGTAGGCACTGCCAAAATGCTGTGATCATCTCTGCCCCTCACCCACCACGAGCAGTGATCTGGGAGGCCAAGGGTGAGGTCACAGTGGATGGGCTGAAGAAAAGGTGATGGGAGCTGGGCAGAGCCAAGCCTGCTGGGCCTGAGAACGCAGTCACAGGCAGCTGCCTCACACAGAACACAGCAAAGAATAAGCATTTCACTGGTAATTCCCACTCTGTTCACCTTACAGCTCACCCAGTGCCCACCAGGAGTGGCACAGCATCTTTTCACTTACCAGTCCAAATCTCAGCAGTCCAGTAAAATACAGCTGGGTTTTAAAGCAAGATACCTAAGTACAGGCACGCCACTCAATTAGGTCAGAGACAGGCAGGGTCTGAAGTTACGTTTCCTTGTAAATCACGTCAAAATTACTGCTTAAATGTGGCTCAGACAAACAGCATCTCTCTCCAGGTATCAGAAAGGAGTGGAGTCACTGGCCAACATCTTGATACACAAACACGCAAGGGCTAAAGGATGAAGTGCAAGGGGTGCTCTTGCTTGGGGGGAAGCAAGCTCTGAAGGAAGCAATCAGAAAGTTGACACTTACTCTTGCTCACCACATGCTCCAATGCAGGTAGGTGTCCCATTGCACAGCAGGGATGACATTTACCCACAGACCACCAGGATGTTAAGGAAAACCAGAAACAAACTGTGCAACTTGAAGCATTAGGTCATTACTTTTTATGAGTTTGTACAGGAGAAGCTATGGAAAGCTTTGTATAAGGAGCCGACAGAGGCTGAGGCCCGGCAGAGGCAGACAAGGTGGCAGGAAAGGAGATGGGGTCAGCAAGGGAGACACTGCTGCATTTCTTGACAAGGTTACCAGCCATTCTCAATCCAAAACCTCAGGTGCCCGCCACCGCATTTGGGACGCTTTCCCATGCTGCACTGCTGCCACTGAGAAGTTTCTGCCCAGCACCTCCTCCTTCTAAAGCCGGGATTTCTGATCCCCTCTCCTGCCGCCCGGCGATGCTGCCCGGCCCTCCTCCATGCCCGGCCGCTGCACAGGGGCGCAGACGCACGCCCCGATCCCGGGCTCGCATCCCTCGTCCTGCTCCACCCTCTCATCCCCCGAGCAGCACTGCCAGCACCGCCCCAACAACCCCCTGCGGCCTTTTGCTGTTTAAACTATGGGCAGGGGAAGGTATAAAAAACAACAAAAAAAGGGGCGATTCACAGCGACCGCAGGTGACAAGCGAGTGAGAAAAAAACCCCTCCAGCAACAGCCTGACAGCAGCCCCGGTAGCCGAAGCAGAGGAAGCCGGCGAGGGAGGCCGTGCTGTGGGCGCCCGCCTCAACTGCGCCGTGCGGTTTTGGAGAGCAGCTTCAACACCCCCGGTTCAGGCCCAGCACCAGCTTCCCTGCACCGTGGCCATGGGCTTATCTCCAGCCACCTGCCCACCCGCTGCCAGCAACCAGCCCCCCACTTGCTCCAGGCTGGGAGACAGCCGGGGAGTCCCACAGCCCACGTCCACAGACACCCAACCCACTCCAAAACGCTGCACAATCGGTGGATGCTGCACCCCGAGGCTGCCCGGGGCTTGGCCCCCACTGCCAGCCCAGTGCAGCCGGTCCCACTGGGGATCTGCTGAAGCAAGTCACTGAAACACAGCACGAACCCTTGAAACACGCCGCTGCATTTTTTTTTCAAATAGGATTTTCTCCCTCTAACTTATTTAGCGTGCATCTGGATTGAGTCAGACCACAATTCTTGGTAATAGTTTAAGAAATACAGACCATAAAAGCTGAACTACTTGTAAATTTGTCCACCATAAAATTTTCCCTTTCCCATGCCCCTCGTTAAGTGATTCACTTAAGAGTTTTATTTGTAGGGATTATCAAAATTCAGTAACATGGTTATAAATGAAGGCTCTTATCTTCCCTAAAAATTAGTGTCTCAGTGAAGCCCATGAAAACCAACCCCAGCTCTAGAGATTTATTGATGCAACCGCAGCCTGCATATGAAGGTGTTTAAGGGAGGAAACCCTGGTGCTTGCTTGCAACAACCAAGAGCCACCACAGCTCATGCCGGGGTGAAGCAGGCAGCATTTTTTGGACACCACTGTCCTCCACTAGCAGTGATCTGAGGGACTCACAGCTGCTGTGTGCCATGCACCTCACTTCTGCCGCTGAAGCCAGAGTAGCTGCGTAGAGACACGAGCACCCTGCAGGGTACTTCATTTCAGGCTTGCATCTTAAGAGACAGCTCAGACTAAATGCCTAAAAAGTCAGACACCTGAAATTATGAAAGATAATCCTATTCATAAGGAATATACCTATCCTGGGGTATATACCTCCAGGCTCTTACTGCAGGAAGGTACAATAACCCCACCACAGCAAAATGCCATTGAGCTTGCTGCCAGAAGAAATGTCCGAGCTTGTCGTCTCATACCAGCCGCTTGCCTCGACAAAAAGGTTAAAAGCTGTTTACATTACTGTTTGGGTTTCTTTCCTCACCATCATTTAGCACTGAGGAAGACTCTTGGTTTGCCATCCATACGCTATCGTGTGTTTACGAAACACAACATGCCCAAAAGCACAGCTCATGCCCATGAGGTTCAACGTTACGGTTTGCTGCTGTCCTCAGCTTTAAAGCTAAGAAACAAACTGCAGATAGGATCAGGATTCAGGTTATCAGATGTTAGGCAGCCAGAATAATTACATTTTAAAAAAGGAAAGTAGTTCAGGTCATTGACTTCCACTTTTTATGCCAAAGGATGTTAACACTACAGGAACATGAGGTCAAGATAAGGTGGGTTAGGATCCTGGTGAACCCTTTATACTCCTGCTAAGATCCCTTTCAGGGAGGCACTATCACAAAGGTAAAATCATTTCCATCTGATTTATTTGGGAAGAAATAGATTCAAAAGAAGGAAAGGATGATAATGCCACAAAGGGCCAAACATTTTCTAGCACATAATGGAATAAAGACTCTAATAAAAAGACCAGGATACTGTCACAGAGGCAAAACAGGAATACCTCCAATAGCTGTCTGATCTGTGGAAAGAGGACCCTGTGTGTGCAAAAAAGTAACAATAAATGGTCTACTTTTCCAGTCTGAAGCTGAAGATTAACTTTTAACATATTGTTAAATTAGGCACTCTTTCTGCCCTCAAATCTTTCCAGAGTCTCGTCAGAAGGAGAAAAGAGGGGAGTGACTTGCTCATCTCTGGAAGGGGACTCCTCACTTCACCAAAACAGTCAGTCATTCTCAGAAAAAGCAAGTGCTTTCACTTCTCAGTTTTGCAAGAACTTGGTGCAAAGGGCTTTCCTGAAGCATTGGGCAACTGCAGAACCTGGATATCCCACAAGCTCAGGTGACAGACGCAAGCTGTGCACCTCTAAAAGCTTTTGTAGGGGTTGTAGGCTACACACATGTGCTTTCACTAGACCCATCCTCATCAGGGATAGCAGAAGGTCCATCTAGTTAATGCAGAAGATGCTCCCCACTGTAACTTTTCTATTATCTAATCCGACCTGGTGTAAGTGTCCCAAGAGGCACAACTTATTATTCAAATGGTCATTTCTAGGTCACCTACACCTTCCCTTCCCCTACCAGTCCTCTCTGTACATCCCGCAGCAGTAACTCACTCCAGACTGACTTACTCTTAGGTGGTCTTTTCATGATTAGCTCCTACAACCCATTGCACACGATGGAGGACCCATCTTGGCTCAGTGGGAGTCCCAAAGCATCTGCATGCTGCAAGGCTGAAGAAGGAAACACTAAGTCAGACACAAGATGCTGCTGATCACAATCAGACGTGTTTCTCTGTTCAGTGAGCACCTCACAGACGTGGCAGATATTCCCCTAGCACTTTTAATTAAGACTTTTACATTGGCCTTTCCAAAAAGCAGTGGAAGTTTCGTTACACTAAACAGCTCGCAGCTAGCTGACAGGTCATGGCTCCAGTAATCAAGTATGTACTGATAACATGAGGAACAGCGCCCAGCTGGGAGATTTGTAAAGCACCTCCCCACTCCCTTTTATCCCAACTTCAGACTTCCAAAAGTCGTTAAGCTTATGCTGGCTATCACTATTGGTGGGAAACGGTTTTCTACTGGGTAGGTAATAAAGTAATAGAAGTATCTGTGCACAAAACATCCAGGGTCAGTCAGCAAGCACAGACTTACCAGTGAGTTTTCTTGTCTCAATGTGGGGAGGAACGACTCTGATTTCACAGCTCATGTCAAACTCAGTGCTGAGATGCACAAGCCCAGCAAACAGGACTGTTCTGTCTCAGACTGAGCTCAGTTTCAACTCTCTTGATCAGCTTCAAGAGAAGAAAAGTGGGAAACTTCCATCGCAACAGCACGAACTGAGGGTGGAGGTGCTGGCGGGAGAACTGCAGCTGCAAGGCTACAGACCCCAGTCGGCCCACAAGCAACTCCTTGCGTTGCAGCCAACACAGACCAAAGCTGCGACAATTACAGGAGCTCTCCTTCATGTCTGGTCAGGCAAAGCTGTGACCCTACACTCATCCCAGCCAGTTTTCCTTTCCTTTCTCCAGGCTCAATTTCCACCACATCTAAGCTGTGCCAAAAGAGCCAGTGCCAGGAAGGGCACCAAGCCTCCAGTAATGAAAGCCATACACTTTTTTAGGTTAAGCTTTTTGCAAAACCCAGGTGGTTTTCATTCACGGCTTTCAACACATCCTTCATATAATGTTTTTCAGCAGATAAATATCATGAGTGAATCATAAGAAAGGTAGACATAGGCAAACCTGCAGAAAGGCTGCAAGATTTACCTTGGCTCATCCAGCAGGAGAACTTGGGGCAGACATGTTCAAGATTTGCAAAGTCTCAGGACGTTTCACTGCAGTCCTGTATGGACATCTGTTTGCAAGAAGGCTCCTTAGTTGCTGAGGGTGAAGAAATTATTAGTGAAGCCTGGTGTCAAGCAGAGAAACAGTTAAATCATCTTAGCGAGGCAGTGGCAGCCTCAGGTTATCAGGCAGGAAGAAGGTTACACCGGCCCCAGCGGCTGAGGCTCCATTTGTTGTAGTAGCTACAAATATTGGTGAGGGAGAGGTTTGGGAGCAGGCCTTCAGCCCCCTGCTGCTGACCCACTTTACGGGCAGCCACACGTGTCATGTCTCGCCTCTGCTAGAAGATGCACAGACAAAAAACCATGCAACAGCAGTGATGTACCAAGTGAAGAGAACGGCTGATTAAGGGTTCGGCTTAATATTAATTCCCTGCATATTCGTTTTGTATTATTGCTTAGCAATAATACTAATAATGCCATTGGGGACCACTCTGAACATGAAGCATTTCACGGGCCCCACAAAAATGAGCCAAGGGATGAGCTATCACAAAAGGGAGTATCACAACAAACCTCACCTGGTCCTCAATGGAGCACTTCAGCCAAGGGTCTCAGAGCAAACCCCAACTCCACGGACCCTCATAGATTCACCTTCAGAAAAGGAGGAATTGATTCTTCCACCTCTGAAACGTTCTTCCTCTAATTTGGGAGCTTTCACATTTTCACAGTACATAGTAACCATACATCTAAAATTTTGGGGCACGGTAAACCACTGCTGACGAGAAAGGGCATCAGCTGTGAATCTGCAAGTGGGGCACAGGGTCCTGGCTTTGTGTCCCCATTAACGCCTCTGCTCCTCTCTCAAGTGATAAAGCTGCGGCTGGTTCGCCTTCATCACTACAGTTTATTACAAGCCACCTGAGAGACTACACCCAATTTCAGAAAACCTTATCTCAGATAGCATTAGAAGATAGAGAAAAGAAAAAGGCTGTATTTTGAGACGTACCTTCTCATACATAGGTTGGAAATGGCAAATATGAATAGTCTATATATAGATTTTGACTGAATTAAGGACTGTTAAAAAGCAACGCATTCCTGTGGCAGGGTGGGACTCGGGGGAAATAGGAGGAAAGAATTTCCTTATCATTAATGACTATAGGCAATACCTTTATTTTGCCAGTGATAAGAAGAATAAAAGTAGTATTTTAACTGTCAGAAATATTGAAGTACTCTCAAAATCTCAGACATTAGGCTTGAATACCTTCTTAACTGCTTCTCTAT